AAAAAAAATTGATAGCAAATATTTATGAACATGAAAGCTTAGGCCGCTTGTAATTAAATCTTTGGTTAACATCACTTTGATACACTTGAGAAGAGGAAAGATTCTGCAAATCTATTATTACAAACTAATTATCAGTTCAATAGCTATCAAGCTTAGAGATTTTAATTGAACTGTTTGATGTTAATAAGTTAGCTTACATCAATATTTTGAGTAGAATAAAGAAGTTTAAATGAATATATTTTATTACATACATGTCAGTACACAATATTTATATGTAGGAATGGCAACGGTCGGTCATTTTCGGCTAGCCGTTTTTGTAGCCGTTGGCTGTATCTCGCGATTCAGTGATCTGAATTGAGTGATTTTAGTACCATTCGAATCGTCTCATTGAGACGATGCGAATGGTACTAAAATCATTCAGCTTGGTTCACTGGATCACGGGATAACTGCAGCTTAGCCGAAAATGACCGACCGTTGTCATCCCTATTTATACGTATATCGTCGTGGGAAACTTGTCATTGGCTTTCAATTATATTTTATACCGGAAATAATCTCTATTATAACAAATAGATTAAATCCGGTACAAAATATAATTGAAAGCCTGGAAGGAAAATCAAGTATAGCCTAGTTCAAGTTACATATTATGAGTGCTGATAAAATAAGTTTCATCACAAATTATACAGCATGTCACTGAAACATTTAGGCGGTGCTCATATTTTGTCTAGACAAATTATTATAAACACTTCAATTAATTGCAATGATTGAGCAATATCTCAATTACCATCAAATCATATTAAGAGGGCTGCTTGAGAACTTCTTTACGGAATCTTACATTTTTGCGATAGCGACAAAATATCCTAGCTCTAGTGTAAATTATTAATAATATAGGTCGCTAAGAGGCAATTTTCATAGTAAATCGCAAATTTACTTTCTTACTAGCACAATTAACGAGGTATTAATGAGGTTTTTTAAAAAAACTACGAAATTTTCGTATTTTGTCAAAAACCTCGTCAATACCACGTTAATAGTGCTACTGCTATCGCAAAACTGTAAGATTTCCGCAATGTTACTTAAATCAATCACAAATAAATAATGTCCTTCATATTATAGATTGAGAATGCTTCAAGAAGCATTTTCAATGTGATTACTAGTGACCAAGATGTTGTTCAAATCACTGTAATTAATTGTTGGTTATTGCCGTTAATTGAAGAGCAGCCCGCTAAAAACTCATTGTACTAATGCTGAGGGGGTGCTTGAAAGCAACCTAAATTGAAAAGAACTACTAAACAACCTCTTTTTACAATAATACAAGAACTGCAAGCAACCACAGATAAGATAACAACTCAATTGCTAACTTTTTTGTTTTGATACTACATTTTAACTATATTTGAAGACTTAAATATATTATTGTTATTGTCAATGAACAACCAGTAATAAAGTTGGTGCTAGAGCTTTATATACTAGGTTCTAAATTTAAAAAGAAAATCATGTTAGTACTGTAATTTATATATTACATAAAAAATAATAATAATAAATCTTACCCTTCAATATATGGTAATGCCAAGTGAAAACCGGAAAGTCTAAAAATATATCACTATTAAGTTTTATAATAATCTTCCTGGTTTTCACTTGGCGATACCTATATGAATAATAGAATGTGTTAATTTTCAGTATATAGCATATTTCATAAATTTTCATTTATATGTACTAGTGATGCCGATATAACGTTTTAACATTATATTATGTTTTTGTTTTGTCACACGATAAAACTGATATTAATATAAATTGCAAAACCTGTTAAATAAAAACGACAAAACTAATATATGCTACGTATAGTTAAAAATGTTAATTAAATTAAACTACTGATATTATCAAATTACATAAGAGTCAACTATACAATACGTATTAAATTGAATTTCATTACATAAAACTCAAAAAACTAAAGTCAAAACTAAAGTCAAAACAAATAATTTAATCCATTTGCCGCAACAAATAATCTATTTATATGAGTGCTGCCAATAGAAAGCATGCATATTTATATATAGATTATATATATATGTGTATGTTTTCTTTTGCGACACTCATATAAATAAATTAGTTAGTGCTTATTTATTACATAAACGATTGGTCATACTCTGATCCTTAAATTTGAGTAATGCATTAAAAATTGACCTGGGTTATTTCTTAATCGGTGAAAATTTAAGAATAACCTAGGTCAATTTGGAATCGACCTGAATTGTGAAACGACTTGGAACATTAATATATATTATTATCATGTGAGTGTTGCAGAGCAAAAACCTAGATGTGAATCTTTTGATTTCTCACTATGGCGAACTTAACACCAGAAAGTTAAATAGGCAATCAGTATTCTGGTAGTTCGGTAATACAATAACTTAATTTATTAAATACTACGTAAAGTTTAATGCTTAATAAATCATGTTATTGTATTACCAAAACGCTAATTACAAATATAATTTTTGGAGAGTTAAGTTTGCTGGAGTGATAAATTAAAAGATTCACTTTTAGGTTTTTGCTCTGCAGCACTCATATATAAAATTAATATAATAAAATAAAATTTAATTGGAATATATTAACTGTTTAGTTATATATATTTATATTTTATATAATATTGTAAGTTATAATATGTATATATAAAATTTTTAATATATCAATATACAGTCATTTTAATTAATTATACGTAGATATATAGTTTTAGTAAATTGTTATTTAGTGTAATGTTGGTTAAATAGATTATTAGTTAAATTAACTATTAATAAAGTAAATAAGGCGTTTTTAAATACTTTTTGGATCTTTTTTAGTATAGTTGAACAATATAAGAAATAAGCTTCGTTAATGATTAGTAATCATTAATTTGTTAATAGCGGAGTTGCGGAGTCGGCGGAGTTTGCTCACCTATACTAAAGAAAATCCTACTTTTTTTAATAAATAAATAAATAATTTGATTAGTTAGTCAAATTAGAAAACCAATTGGATTATTTTGAGCTTATTAAGGAAATACTTAAGAATGCCCAAATCTATTACGTAATTTTAAATTATTTATATATAAATTAATATATATATTGTATATACGTATCTAAACTGATTGTTTTATAGTTTAAGTTTTAATTATGAAAAAAAAAGTCTAATCAATTAAGCTCTAAATCATCTCAATCCAAAAAACGTGTAACTTTAAAAGGTTATGAAAAACAGGAATTATGTTTACAAAAACAGCAAAATCCACAAATTACAAGAGCTCAATTAGCTACTGAATTTAATATTGCTCTGAATACCGTTAATGATATTCTTAAACGAAAGGATTATTGGTTAAATATTGATCCAAATAGTTTTGCTACCAAATCACAAAGAAATCGTTTACCTGGTTTTCCTTTAATAGAACAAGCACTTTTAATTTGGGTAAACCGAGCTCTTGAAGCCAATATAACAATATCAGGATTTATGTTAACTGCAC